TCCTTTCCAGCCTTAGTGTTAGTGCCCCGAGATGTTGTTCCCAATTTACCACAACCTAGGAATGTTTATTAAAAAATGACAGTCAGACGCGATAAAGTTTAAAAAAATATGTCAGAGATGTTTTTTACCCCTGACCTAGGAAGTGTAGCTTCGTTCTTTAGAACACTGGTGTTGTTGTCTTGCCTTTCATTTTGTATGACTAACTTTTATACCAAATTGAATAAGCCATTAGCTTTTAGTCCGTAGGAATGTGGATCCATAGATATTTCCCATTAGACAAAAGAAAATCTATAGAAGCAGTGTCTCCTGGGGCTTGGTCTTCCTCACTGGCCCTAATGGTGTAAAGCGCTGCTATACTCTACCCTTATGAGAAAGAACCTGTGGGATGATCCCCTTAACATCCAGAAATATTAATTGGAGAGTTGTGCACATTCTCTCAGAAAACTAGCTTTTGTGCTAGACCACATTTATGAATCAAATATTTTGATTCAGAGAAATCGTGTTACAAATTTTACATTTTTGAAATGATTACTGGACAAAATGATAAACTTTGTATATCATGTGCAGTTTAGAATTCGAGTTTGCTGAAATGGACGATGCCATATTTAGGTGGCCATGTTGTTTTGACAGGTTTTTTTTTTTGTTGTTGTTGTTTTTTAAAGAACTTCTCCTCCCCAAAACAGACCCCTACTGGTGATGGTTGCACAATTCTGTGAATATACTAAAACTCACTGAAGTGTACACTTCAAAAAGGTGAATATGGGGTAGGTGAGTTCTAGCTCCATAAAGCAGTTGTTAAAAAAATTCCACTGCACAAAATATTTCCATAGGTGCAAACTAATTTAATTTATATTCACAATCAAAACAAAGTGTTAGCTTCAATAAACATTTAAAGCTTTAGAAATATGACATCACGTGTGAATTAAAAAATAACTTGTGTTCTTATTGAACAGTAATGCACGTCTGTTATGGGAACTTCAGAAACTGCAAATAAGAAAAAAGACATTTTGGAAAACGTTTGGGTCTTTTAATATTCACATCTACCATATATTCTAAGCCTTCCCTATATTTAACTACTTCCTTGGTACCCACACTTTTCTTGCCAGCTTTCATTAGCAATAAATAGCTTTACGTGACCACCTTAGGAAAACAACTGGATGTAAAAATATCCTCTTATAAGTGGTTTAGTGAAAGCCTTGCCCCCCCCCAGCCCCCCAGCCCCCTGGACTGCGAGAGGTATAAATGCAGGTGAGCAGCAACACCGTTATCCAAAGAAATACAATATGTATGTTGTAGAGTACCTTTGGATATACAGTCAATTTGGGATTTTTTTGTAAAAATTTGCTTTAAGAAATTTTGGTTTTAAGGCAAAAACTCCAAATCTTGGGCAGAATGGTGGCATCGATTCTCACCTAGGCAGAATATTATTCTGTCTTTTTAAAAACCCTTGTTATCATATTTAGCATTTGCTTTGTAACTGCTAAAATTGTTCACAACACAGTTTAAAGATAAATGCAGTATCAGGCTTAGAATTTTTTTTTTTTTTGGTAAATATTAAGACCTGAGTACAAAATGAGGGCTGTATTGTGGATTAAGTGAAATATCTCAAGGCTGTGCTGTTCTGATAACTGAACCTGAAGTGACCTTTCTCAGACACAATTACAGAGCTGTATGTTTTTCCTTTAATTTCATCAGGGGTTTAATTAGTATACAAATAAAACTTCCCTTATCTTCCTTTCTACCTAATTGGCTTGTCTTCGCTTATATATGAAGTATGTGAAAGTGGGCTGTAATTAGGGTGACCGTGTTAACCTTTTTTCCTCAAATGTACTGTTGCCTAAAGGCCTCAAGGCCTAAAAACAGTGCTTTGGATTATTGCTTTGCAATCACTATGGCTGTCCCATAGGTTTTCTCATGAGCAGGAGGGCTTTGGGTGCTGCAGGTTCCCACTGCTTAACAGGATCTTCATTCTTCTCCCCACTAAATGTTTATTGATTATCTCGCTGTTCCAGGCTCAGCCTCCAACAACTTAATATCAGGTGACAGTCAGGAGAGTTCTCCAAGTAATTAGAGTTGAGCATTGGGGGAACAATTAGGAGCAGAGTTATTAAACTTGATTTATCCTATTCTCTCCTGAACAGTTTCTTGGATATCAGAACATCACACTTTCACAATCTACCCTGCTTGAGAAATTAGTGGCTAACCTGCTGCTTATCATTGTTGCCTTGCTGCCTAGAGGCACACCCTCTTGGTTTCAGTCATTCAGTTGGAAATATTAGAGTCCATAAAGTTTATCGTGGGTTTTAATTAGATAAACCTGGACAGGAGCAAAGAAAAGCTGAACTTAAAGTTTTATATAAACATGTAATATATGCTATATTTTATATATGGTAAGAGTACCTGTGTGTATACATTATACACACGCATATAAATATGTCTGTCTTTCTTCAAAGCTCAGTGTTGAGATTTCCAAAGATTTCTACTTTTGTCATCAAAAACAAAAAAGGTGAATTTTAGGGAAAGGACATAATATTGAACCACTTTTTCTGTCTTGGCACTCTGCGCACATCTTTATTATGGACCTTAGGACCCACTGATGTGGATTCCGTTGTCATGTCCCTCAACTCTTTAAAAGGGAATTTTGTGTCTCTAAGTTATGTAACCATGATTGCTATGTCTTCATTTTCACAGGAAGTGTGACCTACGCCACCTGGTTGACACCACTTCTTGTTCATTTTCTGAAGTGTCAGTCTTGGCGCGGGCTACATTGAGCTCTTCCAAAATAGGGCAAACAAGCTTGAGGAGACTTTGGTGACTCCCTGCCCACTCATTGCCCCCGAGAGACGAGTATGAAAGCCGGGGGAAAAAAAGAAGATTTGGATATAGAGCAGAGATTCCGATTCTGAGAACTATATGGTCTTTGGAAGGGTGGCATAAGATTGCTGAAAAGTCAGGTGACTGTGATTTGTGATGATGCCAGGATCGTGGGTTACTTTCAGAGAGGACCAGTGAGCATCAGTTTAGAAGGACAAGGCTAGAGGCAGCACCCCGAGTAGCCCTCACAAATGTCCACCACGAGTCATGAGAGTTACTGGGCAAGAGAATTGGAATGGATTGGCATAAATCTGTTATTTCTGTTGGAAAAAAGAATTCGAACTTTATGCATAACTCGTGGTAGTGGGTCATTAGTTTTAGCTTCCTATCTGAAAAATAGCATTTTTTTTTTTTAAATCAACTGAAAGTTGTCAGAAATACCGGCTTGAAAAGGACTCGAACGGATTTTACTTTTTTAAATCGAGAAATCTCATGATTCTTAATGCCTTTAAATATCTTAACACTGGCACAAAATACCTAGGTTTAGCATGGCCTTTAACAATCTATTCTTTGTTGTCTTTTTAAAAAAAGGATTTTATTCATTTATTTGGCAGAGAGGCAGGCAGAGAGACGGGGAAGCAGGCTCCTTGCTGAGCAGAGAGCCCAATGTGGGGCTTGATCCCAGGACCCTGAGACGACTACCTGAGCTGAAGGCAGAGGCTTAATCCACTGAGCCACCCAGGGGCCCCTGTTGTCTTTTTAAAAGTTGGTTTGAATCAGTGATGCTTCTATAGTGGGATGTTCTTGATGATCTGTGAACACTGAAGATTACAGTAGAATATATCTTATAAGTAATCACAGTTTGCTTATTTTAAATTTTTTAAATTTATATTTGTCTGCAAGCAGCTTGACTGTTTGAAAAGTGAAATCATGAATTTAAAAACTTTTAACATTTTAAAATACCTGGTTTGACTTCTGGTTGCTTTCAGTGTGCTAGCATTTAGAGTGAGTTAACTGTTTTAGCTTCACGAAGGCTGCTTGAGTTTTCTGTTCTACCTATTGTGAATGCATTAAGAAAATACTGTAGAAGAATTTTGAACATGAAAATTATAGCATTTGGTTATTCTTAACTGGATATTTGAAGCAAGGCAGTGGACATTAATGTGTGGCTAAACTCTGTGAAGGAAGCAGAAGATGTTATGCTTGTGTAACCAATTGTTTAGCTCACTGTATAACAAATGTAGTTGAAAAGTTGATAAGCTCATATTCTAGAAATTTCCTAAGAAAAAGAATGAGCAAATTTTTAGTCCTAAGGGATCCTGTGATCCCTATGTTATTTTACATGAAGTCTAGAAAATACTTCTTTAAATTGTGAGGTCTAATTCTAAGACCTTTAGCCTGAAAGTTCCAAACCAGAGTTGAGGACTCACATCTTGAAATTTTTGTGCTAAGGGAATATTTCAGATTAAAGCAAATAGCAAAATATCAATCAACAGATTTTCTACTTCTGGGAATAGAAAAATATTTATGGAACATAAATAATTCTGAATGCAAATATTATTTGTAACTTTGTTAGATGAAAGGTGTTAATCACATTTGTGTTGCTACCTTCGACATGGAGTTATTTAATGGCAAGTAAGTGAGTTTTACTGTGGAGTCCAGTTAGTTCACTGAGATGTCTACAGTACCTGTTTTGGATCTCTTTATGAATAAAGTAGTGGTACTTTCCAGTTTGGGTTCCCCATTCTCTTGGTGTCCTTATCCACCTCCCCTTCACTCACATACACACTTTGCCCACAGGCCAGTTTTTGTTTTGAATAGCCTCTAAATTTCATGTGCTTTCTTCCCTGAAAATCTTTACTTCTTCCTCATTAAAGAAAAGGGAACTTGAGGTTTTTATAGTCAGATTTTTTTGGGTGTAAGAATAAAATGTATGTGCTTTCCAGTATTTAAAAAAATAAAGCAGACTTGTATTTTGTAGCTAAACATTTTTTCAAAATCTTATCAGAACTATCATTTCTAATTAGTAAGTGCGTGAAATTTTTGCAGAAAATTTGTTAAACCCTGATGTGTAATGACCCAAGTCTGCTTCTCAGTCTGTATCCTTCTTTGTTTAATAGCCTATGGCATAAATTGAAGTTAATTATCAGGGCTGACAAGCAACTCTGTTTTCTGTCTGCTTGCAGAGTCTCTCCGAGGCAAAGATGGAGCTGAGAAGAAAAGATCAATCTCTGCGTCAGCTCAATAGACATCTCACCCAGCTGGAGCAGGACAAGCGTCGGCTGGAGGAGAGCATCCGCGATGCGGAGAGCGCCCTCCGCATGGCAGCCAAGTGAGCACTCGGACCTTGGGGAGATCACTTAAAACAGACAAAAGATCAATTCTCACTTTCATGCTCCGGGTTTTAGCCCTGGATAATACAGTGTTAGAAAACAAAAGTACAGCTGTCTCTCTTTGAAATTCTCTGATAGATCCTCAAAAAAGAAAACTCTTAACTCAACATGCTCAATGTATATTTTATTGAGAAATCTCGGAAAAGTATTAAGTTTCTCGATCACCGCGCATTGTGTGTTTTGGGCTCTGTGTAGTGTTACACGTTGGAGACCCGTGATTTCATTAATAGGAAATGGAATACTCATTACTGAAAAGTTTTTCATCGTTCCTTCTGTTACATACTCCTCATTCCCTTCTGCCCCAGATTTGCTCTGCGTATGGTATACTAATATTGCAAGTAATATTTCCATAAAAAATGCTAGGATATAATCAACATGTGTATAATAACATCTTTTTAAGCGCAATAAAAACATATTGATCATGGAAAATTCATTTAATTTTATAGCTGTATATTCTAACACGTTCAATAGAAAAAAATATACAGTTTTCAGAGTGGGCAGCTATGCAAATGTGATGAGAGTGTTTTTCCTTTTACCAGGTAATCAAGTTGACATACACTTTGGAGTTCAAATTGAACAGTTCTCTCTTGGGTATTTTTATTTGTTCCTCACATCAAATTTCATGGAATACTTTAAGACAGTCCTTTGTACAACAGCATGGCTTAAAGAAAATCTATTTATGGATTAAAGAAACATCTAATTTTAATAAACTCCATGTTTTCTGAATTTGGAATTCTGAGTTCCTATAATTGCAAATATAAATATATGTATATATTTATATATATATATCACTTAAAATTTTTTTTGAGGCAGTGTAGTCTGTAAACAAAATTATAGAACAGGGGATCTGCCATCTATGATATCCACAACTTTGCCATTGGGCTTGGGAAATTGCTCATACTAATGAAAAAATGAGTTTACACAAGGCCAAAATATTGTCAGGTTAGTCGTTTTCTGGAAAATTGTGAAACTCTGTAATGTTGTACCACCATATTAGGTTTTTGTGATTGTCAATTTTTTAAAAATATGAATTTGACTCAATCAGCTTTGTGTTGCCATTGTTCAGTCTTTCTCCTTATGGCAAGTGGAAAGCTTAGCCCAGGTTATTTCTAGTGCATCTTGCAGCTCTGAAAATTCTTAGATGAATGGGAACAAGATTACAAAGTCTCCAGATTAATATTCTGTCTCCAAAACATTGCTGCTAATTCAGGAATCTGTCACATCTAGTGACCATGGGCACATGTTCTTATAACATGAAAGAAAATTAATTTGAAATTTGGAGAGCTAATACATTATTTACAGTTTTCAATTTCTAATTTACTATTAAATTTTTGTCTTCAGTATTTTCATCCAAACTTTTAATTTAGCTTTACTTTTATTGAAGTGTAGTCAGCATACAGTATTCTATTAGCTTCACATATATAATGTAGTGATTCAACGTCTATATACGTTAAGAAGTGATCACCACGATAAATCTAGCTACCAAATGTCACCATACAAACTTGTTCTGGTGTTAACTATTTTCCCTTTGCTGTACATCCAAACTTTTTATATCTTTATTAAAGTCAAATTCAGTCTGCAAGGCTGATAGAAGAAACTAGTTACTTTGCTTCTAGTCAAGGTCATAGAGGGTTTTTGTGTAATTATAACACAAAGAGCCTATGTAGAAAGGAAAATATTATTTGGCATAGTATGGCCATTCAAAATATATCTCCACCTCTATGATTTTAAAAATCTCTTTCATTAGAAACCAAAGGAATGAAAGTTCAGCCTTTCTAGTACATTTTAACCCAACAATGTAATCATAGCTTGTTTTTCTTTTTCACTCTTTTTAAAATTTCTGTTACTTATTTTTTCAGCCTTTTTTACAAACTTTAGAAGAGATCCATAAGATTTTTATTCCTCTAATTTATGGCAGGCAATGTAACTAAAGATAAGAGTTAAATGCAGAATTATACCAGAGAATGTGGTTAGGTTTTGCATTTTTTGAAGGAGTACAGTAATAACCAAACCTTATTTTTCAGTAATAACTACTTATACTAAAATGTGTAACATTGGTTGTAAGGCTTGGGTTTTACTAATACCTAATTTTAATTTTTTTTCTAGAGACAAAGAATGTGTTGCTAATCATATGAGAACAATAGAAAATATGCTTCATAAGGTACTATACTTTTCCTTCAACATCATTCAACTTCTGTTAGGATGTTGTTTTCCTAAACATTAATTTTATTAACCTCAAGATACTTTAATTCATTTTGTAACTTTCTTTAAAATTAAAGTAACAGAAAGATCCTCCCAAATGACTGAAAGTTTATGTTATATAGTGCTTAACTGTAAAACTTTCTTCAGAATTCACTTTATGTACTTGATAAAACTAGAAAAATAGTGGTTTCTCCCAACTGGTATAATTGCATTTGAGTTATTTGTGGTCTTTGCTGACTGAACCAGAGGTCATTATGATTCTTACTTGTCTCATAATGATAAAATGTTTGACCACACTCTCTAACCTCTTACCACTCTCAAACCTACTGTCCTATATATGTATATATAGAGGAGCCAGAATATATTTTATCTGGCAGTACTTTTCAAGCTGTAATTTACCTTCTTATAAGAATATATTTAGTAATACTCTATTATTTTCAAATTTGATTACTTCTCAATGATAAATTAACATTTAATTTATAGTGATGAGTAGCATTTAAGGATGTCGTCTTACTAAAAGCTTAATGTATTAACTGACTGTGTATTTTTTTAGCATTCTAAATTCAAAGATACGTTCATTATTTAAAAGTAGAGAAATATAATTTATGTGTGTCTATTATTGTCTAATAGACAATTTGTTGGAAATATAATTACCTAGTGCTTTTAAGATGTATGGAATTCATGAATGAACCATATTTATAATGATTTATAATGATTTATAATAACCATATCTATAATGATTTATAATAAACCGTATTTATAATAATCAAATTTATTATAGAGTATAGCTTTGTAAATCACTTAAAAATACCCAAAAAACAAACCATGGTCACATCAAATCCATATATGCTAGAAACCTGAAATTTGATTTGTAGGAAAAGAGATATCTTTGGTTACATTTTTTTTGTAACCAAAAAGGTGAGACCTTTGATAGGAGAAATCAGTTATGTTGTGTATATGGCATATCTTTATATACAGTTAATGTTGCCTTGAAATCCAATTGTTTGTTCATATTCCCAGCTACAGGAAAAAAAAATCTTGGGTGGCAGCTACATTGAAGAAAGGACTTTGACATCAGAGAAAAACCATCATCAGTGTGAAATACAGATGTTGTGCCTTATCCTTTCTTTTTCTTTTTTTTTTGAAAGATTTTATTTATTTGACAGACAGAGATCACAAGTAGGCGGAGAGGCAGGTGTGGGGGTGGGGAAGCAGGCTCCCCACCAAGCAGAGAACCCGATGCGGGACTCGATCTCAGGACCCTGGGATCATGATCTGAGCTGAAGGCAGAGGCTTTAAAACCCACTGAGCCACCCAGGCGCCCCTGCCTTATCCTTTCATTATGAGAGTGACAAAATGTGTATTTTAAATATAATCAAGACTGACTGCAATAGGACAATTATAATCATACAGTTCTTCAGTTGCAGTTTATCTTTCAATTTTTGTGTCTTACGGAAAGAAAGATGTCTTTAGAACTGGCCGAGAGCCACTGTAGATTTACTTTTGCTTGATGGCTTTTTTCCCCTTCAAATTTAGTAGTTAATTATTTTGATTAATGTTTCTGGAAATTTCTATTTTTATAGTGGTTTCAGAATTATCAGTTACTTCTCAATCTTGAAGTGAAAATTTAGGAAAGGCTAAATTGATTGTTGGGCTAATTCTCTTTTCTATGAAGTTTGGGTGAGAATGAATGGGTGCTGTGAAATGGCCCCGAGAGTTACTCTGAGCTCTCAGGGAGGTGCTGCCCACTGGTCCTCATGCAGGTGTTTTTCTGGCCAACTCAAACTGTCCAGAGGCATTTCGCCAACTTGGAGAAACTGGGTGTAGTACAAACGAGGATCTAGACTCTTCGATGGTAAAAATGGTTGTGGTTACATTCAAACTCTTCAGTCCAGTTTATTGCACATAACCAAACAGTATAGCTATCATGTATCTTAAGCACACGTGTTTTCAAGGTGTGCAGTAGTTATTCTAGAATAAAGTTGACTCTACCTGCTGAATTAAATTTTAATATTAACTTGTGACACAATGATCTAATAGAAAGAAATTGTTTCCGTGAAGACGTTATTTTTTTCTTTTTAATGATTTATTTATTTATTTTAGAGAGAGCAAGGGAGAGAGTGTGGTGGGGAGGGGTAGAGGAAGAGGGAGAGAGTGTTAAGCAGACTCCACCCTGAGTGTGGAGCCCAGTGCAGGGCTCGATCTTACAACCCTGAGATCATGACCTGAGCTGAAACCCAGAGTCGGATGCTTAACTGACTGCACTGCTCCACCCATGTGCCCCCAGACATTATTTCCTTTCTTGAATTTTAAAGAACTTAAACATTTGGAGAACTTAAGTGTTTGGGTTTTGGGGTTTTTTTTTGGAAAAGCAATTACGTTTTATTGATATTTGTCAATTATTTAGAATTTGAGTATAGCTGACACACGATGTTACATTAGTTTCAGGTGTACGACATAGTGATTTGACAAGTCTATATATACTGCCATACTCACCACTGGTGTAGCTACCATCTGTCACCATACATTGCTATTACAGCATTATTGACTATATTCCCTATGCTGTGCCTTTTATTCCTGTGACTTTTTCATTCCATAACTGGAAGCCTGTATCTCTTCAGCTCTTGCCACTTTTATTGAATGTAGTACTAGAAGTCCTAGCCACAGTGATCAGGCATGAAAAACAGAGGCATCCATATTGGTTGAAGTTAAAAGAGGTTAAACTATCACTATTTGCAAATGACATGAACATAGAAAATCCTCAAAACTCTAACCAAAAAACTACTAGAATAAATGAATTCCCTAAAGTTATAGGATACAAAATTAATACCCAGAAATCAGTTGCATTTCTATATACTAATAATGAAGTAGCAAAAAGAGAAATTAAAAAAAAGAACACTATTTACACTTGCACCAAAAAGAATAAAATACCTAGGAGTAAACTTAAGCAAGGAGGTAAAAGACCTGTACTGTGAAAACTAATAAAACACTTATGAAAGAAGCTGAAGGTGATGCAAACAATTGGAAAGGTATTTCATTCTCATGGATTGGAGGAATTGATACTATTAAAATGTCCATATTACCTAAAGCAATCTAAAGATCCAATGCAATCCCTATCAAAATACCAACAACATTTTCCACAAAACTAGAACAAATAAAACTGAAATTTGTATGGAACCACTAAAGACCCTGAATAGTGGGAGGAATCTTGAGAAAGAAAAATAAAGCTGGAGGTGTCACAGTTCCAGATTTCAAGATATATTTGTTAATCTTTAAACTTGATACATTACCTTCAATTTTTCAAATCCTGAAATTATATTATACAAAGCAGTTTGATGGGATATTACTTTTTAAATCCCATTTGGGACCAATACTAGTATTTAATAAAGAAGGCCAGTCATCTTTTTTTCTTAAAGATTTTATTTATCCATTTGAGAGAGAGAGTGAGAGAGAGCATGAGGGGGGAGAAGGTCAGAAGGAGAAGCAGACTTCCCGTGGAACTGGGACCTTGATGCAGGACTCAGTCCTGGGACTCCGGGATCATGACTTGAGCCAAAGGCGGTGGCTTCACCAACTGGGCTACCCGGGCACCCCAAGGCCAGTTATTTTCATCTAAAAACATACCTCATTCCAAAGAAACAGATATTAAAAAAAAAAAAAAAAAGAAACAGATATTTTATTTTAATTATATGTAAATATATGTATGTATATATTATGGCTTTTTAAATGTAGGTGAGAAGTTAACCTTTTATTAAGAAACTTTGTTAGGCTAATTTCAGGTTATTGGGGTCAAGAAAAATAACAAGAGAAAACAAGATCACAATTTTCCATGAGGTGCATTTTTTAATATACACACTTCTTTATTTAGTTGAATTCTCAACTGTTTTGAAAAAACCAGAACTATTGAACTTTAAAAGAAAATCACCATTTTAACCATTTTAAAGGGTACAATTCAGTAGCTTTCAATGCATTTATAGTGTTATGCTACCATCACAACTATGTGTTCAGAATATTTTCTTCACCTCAAAGAGAAACCCAGAAGCCATTAAGCAGTCCCTCTTATACCCTCTTACTCCATTCTGTGCATTGTCTTTTTACTTTCTCAGCAACATTCTTTGATGGACAAAAGTTTTTTAACTTCGATGATGTCCATTTTTTTTTCTTTTGTTGATCATGATTTTGGTTTTAGATCTAAGAATACATCACCAAATCCCCGGTCATGAAAAAATCCCCTATGTTTTCTCTAAAGAGTTCTATAGTATTAACTCTTACATTTAGGTTTTGGTCCATATTGAGTTAATTTTTGTATATGGTATAATTCAGAGACTGAATTTCATTCTTTTACAGGGCTATCTAGTTATCTCAGCACCATTAATTTATTTTTCCAAAGATTTTATTTATTTGAGAGAGAGAGAGAGCGCCCATGCACAAGCAGAGCATGGGAGTTGGGAAGGAGCAGAGGGAGAAGCAGACTCCCTGATCAGCAAGGAGCCTGATGCAGGGGTTGCTCCCAGGACACTGAGATCACGACCTAAACCCAAGTCGGATGCTCAACCAACTGATCCACCCAGGTGCCCCATCCCAGCACCATTTATTAAAAAGACTTTTCTTTCCCCCATTCAGTACCTGTGTTGAAAATCTATTGCCTATGGATGTTTGGTTTTGTTTATGGACTCTTAGTCCTGTTTCATTGATCTATATGTTGTCTATCCTCATATCAGTACCACACTCTTTTGATCACTGTAGCTTTGTAGTAAATTTTGAAATTAAGAATTTTAAGTCTTCCAACTTTGGGGTTTTTTTTTCAAGTTTTTTTTGGGACTTTTCAGGATTCCTTATAATTACATATGAAATTTAGGATCAATTAGATATGATTTTAAGGTATGAAGAAGGAGGCAATTAGAATTTTGATAGTATTTCCGTCTTAATATTAAGTGTTATAATCCATGACATAGAACA